CTAGTCCTCCGACTTAGTCATTATCCATCTCAGGCCTAGGGAGGAATTCCCTAGGCCGGAGCTCCGCTCCTCTGCTCCTCTGTTCCTCTGCTCCTCCACTCCTCCACTCCTCCGATCCACCATTCCTCCAAGTTTCCAGAAGTTCCTCCGGAACTTTCCCACGGTCCTCCGGACCTATTCTGCTTTGGACTTTGTCCTTGCAGCCTTTCCTCTGTTTGCTTCTACTCAGGTCTTGTCCTGAGTAGCCATTATACATATCCCCGTCAGGATGAAACTCCATCATAATTTCCGGAAGTTCCTCTGGAACTTTCCCGCACTCATCTGGAAGTTTCTCGCACTTGTCCGGACAGTCCTTCTGAAGTTTCCCACGCTCCTCCAGAAGTCCTTCGGACCTCACTGGACTTTCTCCAGACTTCATTCTGAAGTTAAGGGCACATACTCGGGTAAGGGGCGCAGCGCACGAGCTGAAGCCAAGCCCCTTGGAATCAGTCCTACCCTTTGTGCACGGTCTTAACAATTGCAGTCTGTATTTAATTCATCTATTCAGCTGAGGGAAACCATTGTGAGTGACAGGGAACAGTAGGCTTGCCTTTCAGATAACCCCAAAGCATGATTTGAGGCATTTGTGCTCAGGATGCAGAGCCACGTCACATGGAGCCCAGAAGTATTCTTGGATACAGAAAAGTGCATTCACAAATATCATATAAAGCAGATGTTTGTGAGTGTAAGCCACAATGTCAAAGTGTGTTCTAACAGGAAAAAGAAAAAGATAAAAAACCATATATCATTCATGAGGAAATGTCAAGGTGTGATTTCATAAAATAAAACATTATTACTGGCAGGTTTCAAACCTGTGCAGTCCAAGAGAAACAGATTTTGACTCTGATGATCACTTGACAATTTCATCTTTAGCAGGTTGTGAACCCACACAGACAGATTTAGATTCTGTTGTATCAACTGCTTGGCTAAGACCAGTTAGATGAGCTCCAAATGAATCCATTCAGAAGTGAATCCTCAAGGTACATTTATCTGCATTTTGTCAGTTCCAATATTAATTTTTAGCATCCTTCTTGAGTCCAATCATATGCAATCCTTCCATTGTTGGTTGTCACTCATGACCCAGTTGTTAATACTAAGACATCACAAACATCATGGGCCCACCATGATGGTCTGCCATCAGCACTTTTTCAGAGCAATTGCTAGATAAACAGGTCTTGAAGTGAAGAGCCCCAGAAGAAGTCTGATGTCTTTTGCAATAAGAGCAGAATAGAAGAATCAATCATGGTGACCATACTATTGAAAGAACTGCCTTGATGATTCACTTCTGAATGAGTTCCTTGGAAGTGCATCTCACTGGTCTTAGCCAAGCAGTCGAGATAACAGAATCTAAATCTGTCTGTGTGGGTTCAAAACCTGCTAAAGATGAAATTGTCAAGTGATCACTAGAGTCCAAATCTGTTTCTCTTGAACAATGCAGGTTTGAAACCTGCCAACAATAAATTTGATTTTCTATTAAAACACATCTTGACATTATCTCATGAATGGTCTTCTAAAAAGCTCAACTCAACTGATGTTAGTCATGTCATTGCTGCAATAGATTCAAAATCTGTTTTCATTACAGTCTGCAGGTTTGAAACCTGTTGAGCGACACATTTTTTCTATCAGAATATGTCTTGAATATCTGCTCATAGACAGCATCTCAAATATTGATCTTCATTAGTCTTAGTCGAGTTCTCACCAGAGTCAAAATCTGTTTCTCTTGAACTGTAACTATGTAGGTTTGAAACCTACCAATGATAACATTTTTCTTCTTGTTAGACAATGGTGCTGTGACAGGCCTATTTTTGTCAACTGGCTCATCTTCATCCATAGAACCTGCACTATTGGTGGGAGTGTTACTAGGTAGTAGGAATTTTTTGTCCTTCTTCAGGTTCATGTTTCCCACTATCTTCACTGCTGTTGTTTTTCTGCTTCTTCGACAAAGTTCTGACAGTCTGATCTGTAAGGCTGGGTTTGAGTTTGGCAGGGATTTGTGAACAAAATGGGGGTAGATCTTTATCTTTATCTTTAGAGTTTGACAGTTTTTGATTGAAATCCATGGTAGGGGTATGGGTACTGTGACCACAGACTCGTACCCATTGTAGGTAAGGAATGTGAAGTGATAAAAAGTGAGTGGTGTGAGATATACTCAGATGGTCCTCTGTGCATGAGCTAATGTTGGCCCACGGGGATTGCTACTGAGAGGGTTCCTCTATGTATCTAAATGGAGGGAAACACTGGACCAGATGCTTAGTCAAGCCTTGGTTAGGCACGCGATGATGTGCAGAGCACAGTTAAGCAGAAGTGCTACTATGCATTAGTGTACACTGAGCAGATGTGAGGTGCGCATGCAGGTGGTTGGAGTACAGCGACTCTAGATGAGTTGAAGGGGTGACCTAATAGGGGCTAAAAAGTGCGTACCACAAGGGACTACTTTGAAGGTAAACCTATAGGGAGAGATATACAGTACGAAAGAAGTAATGTAGTAGTAGTCTCAAGTATAGTCAACTTGTACTGTCTAGAATCTCACTTGGAGTAGGAAGGGATAGGAAAGGTAGTAAATATGTAAGGACATGTAATAAGGCTGCAACACATTTTACAAGCCTCGAGGTAAGGAAATTCACATACCAATGGGGTTTGGACGGACTATAGATGGACAAGGGACCTTCCTAATGTGTTTCTGAGCTATCCGAAGTGCAGGAACGTGTATCCAATGCACGGGAAAGTGCAGTGTAGGACTTGAAGTCCTTGTGGCCTCGTAGAGGTCTAATTGCCAATGCATGTTGAAATGCTAATCATTACCCAAATCATTCCCTATCATATCCGACTCAATATGCACCAAACCCGAAAACATTGGACATTGGACTATTGGACTTCGCGTGCACTTGTCCTACCTATGTCCTGTCTCATTGTGCTAGCCCCACTAGGTGCATAGTTACTTGTTTTCACATCGCTAACATTGTAGACCACATTATTACATAGGACATCGGGTCCGAAAATATTGCACTACTACTTTCGCCTATAGGGTTCCGGATTTCTACGTATCTACATAAATATTGGACTCCCCATAGCATCATCATCATCTCAGTAGAGGAGAGTCATTCTCCGACACTTAGGGGTCAAACCCGATATTTAGTAGTTTTTAGTTGACATTGTGAATATCATTGTTCCTTCACTGTTCATATCTGTCATTGTTATTATTGCGCATACCACTTGCTTTCCTGATGCTCACTATTGCATCACTATTAGTTTCTGATACCCCAAACCCAAACCTGATAAGCCGATGTAGAGACTGATATCTCTGTGGGCTTGTAAGGATCTAAAATCCCAATGTCCCAATCACCCCCTAATATAGCACGACCCATATCTCTCTCAGCGCACTTGAGCACTACGTCGGCTGCTCGCACGCACGAGCGCTTCAGTCGCACACTGGCGCGTGCATCCCCAGCTCCATCGCTCGTCCTCCGTCCATCCATTCCATGTCCATTCGGTTCATTGGTGCATATTCCCACTATATTCCCATTTATTCTGACATATCTCCGGCGCTTATGGACATATTCCGTATGTTTTGTCATGGACCCTTACATTACATATTATCTTGTATCCGCTTCGCTTCTCGGTTCGCTTTAGCGCCTGACAGCGCTTAACACTTCTAGTATATATACTCACACCTAGACTGTGTAATGATCATCTTCTGCACGCATATCGTCAGACTCTAAGTCTAAGTTCTTCGTCATATCTACCAACCAACAAGAAGTATCTAAAAACAATACGAGCGCCCATCGCCGTACATTACTAGAAACTTTGTCAAGTTGAATTCCGACTCATCAAGAGTCACTCCGCTCCACCACCTGCACGCGCATTACCGTTTGCAATCATGCACCATCGCTCGTTGTCACTCGCCATCACCTATTAGCGCTTCGTGTTGCCTTCACTCGCTCGCGCTTCGCTCATCGTTGCGCGCCTTACCAGGCTTGACCAAGCGCCTGGTCCAGTGTTTCCCTCCACATATAAACATAGAGGAACCTTCTCAGTAGCAATCCCCTTGGGTCGACACACATCTCGCTCATTGAGGACTACTTGAGTATATCTCATACCACCCATATAACCCCACTACCAATTCCTCTTCTACACCGAAATCCTGAAAACATCAGACCCGATGCTTTTGCATCAGAATCATAATTATACCTTTGGACATTGTTTCCTGCACTCAGACTATTGACCCCACATCACTCACTGACCCCCAAAACTATTCCCAGACCACAGACCCCTGGGTTGAACGCACTTGTCTCACCAAGTATAGCAGACTAGGCAGTGCAAGACCACAACATAAAGATATCAGTTTGGAGCCATCTTTGTATAGCCCCACTCTGTGTTGTATGCCTACACTGATCTGATCACGGAGGGGAGTATCTGAGTGCAGAATTCAACAAGTACTTGCATCAGCAAGGCATTGAGCAACAGCTCATGGTACACAACTCACCTCAACAGAACGGAGTAGCCGAGTGGCTCAACTGCATGTTAGTCAAGCATGCCAGAGCTATGCTGCTGGTGAAGGACCTCCCCAAGTACCTGTGGGCAGAGGCTGTCAATTACACCACCTGGCTGAAAAATTGCCCACCTTCTAGGGCAATTCCAGGCACAAACTCCATATGAGCTGGTCACCAGGACCAAGCTCAACCTCTTGCAGGCGTGAGAATTCAGCGCCAAAGGTCAATGAACATAACAGCAGCAATGGTAATAAAAACTCACCTATGGTGTGAATCACTTAGAGGCCGCTTACTTTGTGCAAATATTTTGACTGTTCAAAAAAGGTCAGAATCTTAATCCCTCTTGGGAAAACACTCCTTTCAAAGGTAGGAACAAAATACTGAGACAGATTTTCCATTGGTCAAAACTGAGTGAGCAAAATATTTCGGCCAGGTCCAATTTGGCACATGGGTACTATTGCTACCGAACACTTAGTCAAATGTGCTCGCAACAGCATCTGGAATGTGTCTATGTGATTTATACATTGTGGAACTGAATTTACGGACTTGTATTTGGGCATCTTTGGTACCCAGTCCTGACCGGTAAGCCTCCATCCAGCGGTACATCCAGTGTTCCCACCTACAAGTTGTTTGAAGAGGAACTGAGGCTAATGCTTTTGGCATGTTCTCCTTCAGTGTGTCGAAAGTATAGTCGCAATTGTCACAAAGGTATTTTTTCACCATACCCCAAAAGAACTCAGTGAAATTGAGCTCGCAATGAAACTTTGGCAAGAAAATGCATGAATGACCAGCTGCCTCAATTACTTCCTGCACTAGAGACCTTTGTTCATGAAAATCTTCTTGAAGTTCCAAGATGTGTTTGTTGCAACAATTGGTTGCATCAGCGTTGCACCTGTTTTTATTCAGTGTCAGAGAACTGAAAGTTCACACCTCCAGTGTATCCACAGTCCTGTTCGCTGGAGGAGTCATAATCGATCTCGATCACTGCAGGGTTGGATGTGGCAGGCACAGTGTTGGAGTCGCTGGTTTTTCAAGCAGCGCAGGGTCATCTTGCAGCTCTTGCATGAGCGGCAGCAGCCCTCTGTTGTTTAGTGACCATTGTGCTACTACACAGACTCAATTACTGTATTTTCATCAAAATTTTCAGCTCGTCAAGCTAGTACATTTTTGAACCATGCTGACATCAATTTCTGATTTTTTCGCCTTTGATTTGGCACTTGCACAAAGTAAGCGGCCTCTAAGTGATTTGCACCATAGTAGTGTGCGGTCCAACTCCATCACCTTGCAGCAGCAACCTCAACCATCCACTCCTCCAAGATCCCCACCAGAACATCCACCAACCCCGCCAGCACCCAAGGTCACAAGAACTAGACCCCTCCAGGGTACTATGTGGCCCTCAATGAGGGCCAGAAGGCAGTTGTAGAGATGGAGAACCTAATGGAGGCATCAGAGGTGGACTTGTTAGATGAGGAAAATCATATTCACCTAGCATTTGTCACAGCCAAACCTGAGCCCACCTTGCAGCAAGCACTCAACGGACTGGATGGTGTTGAATGACAAGAAGCGCTGGATTATGAAATCAGTCAGTTAGAGAAGTTAGGTACATGGGAAGTCATGGACACACCTCAAGGCGCCAATATAATCCCATGCCACTTTGTTCTGGCCACAAAGTGTGGACCAGACAGTGAAAAGCTTAAGTTGCAAGCCTGCTTCATTGCCAATGGACAATGCCAGCACTATGGAGTCAACTACTTTGAGACTTTTGTGCCAACTGCCAACATGGCGACCATTTGGACAGTCCTGACAATGGCTGCTCAGTATGATTGGGAGATCCACCAGGTAGATATCAAAAATGCTTACCTCTATGCCAGCATCCAGGAGGAGATATACATGAGGCTGCCACCCAGGTATCTGAAGGCTGGGAAGGATGGGAAGATCTTGAAGCTCAAGAGAAGCTTACCTGGCCTGAAGCAGGCTGGATTCAAATGGGCAGAGGAGCTTGCAGGCATCTTCCTGAGCCTTGAATTCAGTCACTCGAAGGTAGACCAAGTGGTGTACTACAAATGTACCACAAAGGAACACATTGTCATCACCATATCTGTCGACAACATGGTCGTCACTGTTAACTACACATCCCACATCCTCCAGTTCAAGTCTGAACTCCAGCAACACTTCAAAATATCGGACCTAGGAGAGTTAAAGTGGGTGTTAGGGTTGAAGGTAATGAGGGATGGGGTCGGACATACCATAACATTGTCGCAGAAGGCATACATTGCAACCATTGTCGAGCATTTCTGCATGAGCAATGCCAAGAGCAGACTAACTCCCATGGAGGCCACAGCCATCCTGTCGATGGATCAGTCACCCGTTGTGGGTGAGGAATGTAAAGGGTAGGTAAATAGGTAGTATGAGATAAACTCAGATGGTCCTCTGTGCGCGAACTAATGTTGGCCCAAGGGGATTGCTACTGAGAAGGTTCCTCTAAGTGTATAATTGGAGGGAAACACTGAACCGGGCGCTTAGTCAAGCCTGGTAAGGCGCGCGATGATGAGCGAAGTGGGAACATGCGGAAGCGCTAATAAGCACTTATCGAGCGACAAGGTGCGAGGGCGCACGTGTGTGGGTGGAGCGGAGTGACTCTTTTAACGAGCCGGAGGACAAGTAACAGAGGTTCTAGAAGGGCACGATGACTAGTGCTCGAATATTCTTAGATATTTTGATAGTGTTTGGCGACTATAGTGGAGAATTTAGACTTAAAGTCCAATGATGTGTGGGAAGAAAGATGCCATTTTCTACAACGAGATGCGGATATATATATTCTAACTATGAAGTGTTTAAGCGCTGTCAAGCGCTAAAGTGAACTGAGAAGCGAAGCGAATATGAGATAACATGTAATAAGGGTCTATAACATACAGAATATATGTGCAAGCACCGGAGATATGTCAGAACATGAGAAAACAGATAGGAATACACACTGACGAACCGAACGGACATGGAATGGATGGACAGAGGACGGGGGACGGAACTGAAGATGCGCGACCGAAGCACTCGTGCGCGCGAGCAGCCGACGGAGCGCTAAGAGTGCGCTAGCGATATATGTGTCGCGCTATATTCAGAAGGTGATTAGGACGTTAGGAATTTAGACCTCTACAAGGCCACAGAGATATTAGTCTCTACACCGTGACACACACCGAGCTCCAGGATATGCATGATGTACTGTATCAGAGGGCAATAGGCTCCTTGATGTATGGTGCAACCAGTTCGCATTATCCACAGCCGAAGCAGAATACATAGCACTCACGAACATAGTACATGAACTCCTCTATGTGCAGCTACTCATTGGCAAGCTCTACGAGCCTCCCAGTCTCCCCATCCCTATCTTTTGCAACAATCAGGCTGCCATCATGTTAACATCCAATGGCAAGTTCCAGTCGCGGACAAAACACATCAACTTACAATATCACTTTGTGTGCACCCATGTCAAGAATGGTGTCTTCAAGCAACTGTATTTCCCCACAGAGAACAACATCGTGGATGTGTTCACCAAGGCACTTGCATGCCCCAGACTACAGCATTTATGGGCCATGATGGGTTTGGATAGCGCTCAAGGGGGAGTGTTGGAATCTGATAGAACCAAAGGTGGAAAGGAGGAGAAGGCTGAAGAATAATGAGCACAACCAAAATGTGCATGATGAGTGACATGTTGATGTTGGCTCATCTAGCCAAATGTTTCAGTCCATTTTATTCCATATGCAGTACCTGACACATGCACATTATAAGCCCACCTCCAAGTGTTGTACCATCTCAGTTTCAATCCAAATACTGAATACTGAGATGTGAGTTAGTATTTTTGTATTGTTTAACGCCAGACTAACATCAAGTAGATTCATACCTTGTTTAGGTACACAATTTGTTAATAGAGTTTTAATCCAAATACTGAGATATTCATACCTTGTTTAGACTTCATCCCTCCCGCTCAACATAAAAACTCCATATAAGACTGGCCATCCACCCTTGCAGCTCACATCCTTTCTTGGGCAGATCTTCAATCAAGGCTGAACAGTGCTTCATGTGCTCACCCATTATCTTAGACTTCATAGCCTGCTCTTATAGTCTCATATCAGAATATATTTGTTCTCTCAAATAGACCCTCACCATTCAGGTGCTATAGTGTCAACAAAGACTTATCCTAGGAGATGGATAACTGCAGCAGGTGCTAAGAATGTAGTCTGCCTTGTGATGCTCTGTTAGACACTCTGGCTTGGGCTTTGGATTTAGTATCCAAACTAGTTGCTAATTCTGGATAATTGTGACACTTTTTGGTTGAACTTGTATTTAGATAGATATATTTCTATATATAATTCTTGGTAGTCACATTATAAATTATTGTCATTTAGCAGTTTTATTCCTAATACTTGTAATTAGATAGAATTATCCAAATATCAACTTTTTTTGAAAATTATAACATTTTTTTCAGGCTTCAGTATGACAGGGGATGAGAAGGGATAGGGACAAGGAGAAAGAATGTCAGAGAGGCCTTCCTGGGTGTTGGGCAGGGACAAGGTCAAATTTGTCAAGGATTGGCCTGTGACCAGGTGCATGCCAAAGGGAGGGGGACTCCAACCCAAAGGCACAGGAAGGCATGACTGACAGGAGCCAGAGGCATGCAGGGGACAAACAATAAGAAACAGCAAACCAAGAGGGATGGTGGGTGGGTCAATAAAAGGTCTATAAGCAAGCTACTGACTACCACAAATGAAGTGCAGACAACTACAAAGACACTATTGCTGTGGAGCAGGACAAGGTACATGAGGAACTGTGCCATGACAGATCAGCCCAAAACCCCACATTCCACACACTCATGCCTCAGGCAGGAATGCACCCATTCCCCAGGAAGGTTTTCCTGATGACAGCCCCTACCTCAATGTGTAGGATGTAAAAAGGTAACCCCGATAAGATTTTTGAGGAAACACACATTGAATAAGAATTGTACAATGAAGGAAGCAATGAAGGAGTGATAAGTACTATGGAGCAAAATCTAAGAGTGACAATTTCAGCATAGAACGTTCCTGAAGACTGATAGCAACTAAGACTTCTCACCTTCCTCATCAAGTAACGATTCTTCTTCTAAACAAGCTGTCACGTAGTCGGATATCACCAATCGGCGTCGTTGAGGTCTAAGATTTTCCTCAGTTGTGTATGATAATATTGTATATGAGCACTTACCTCGAGGTACGCTGTATGAGCGTCAATCGTCGTGAGTCGTCTCGCTTGTCCAAGACAACATGCGTGAGTTTTGGATCGTCGAGTGCCACTATCTTTCCGCCATTCTCCTGGATGCTTCTTGAAACCTGGTCGAAGCTTAGAGTATCGAGGTTTGATATCAGGGAAACGATACTTGGCACCTGAAGAGAAAGCTCACATAGTGGAGATCTCCTGTTCATACTTGGTTTTCACCGGCATGCCGTTTCTCCGCGCATTGCTTGGCGTGTCAAGGTAAAAGCAACTACCACCGACAGTGAGAGCCGATAACCTGGAAGACACGAGACCTACAGATGCCTGAATATTGCTGTTGCATCGTATTCCCCCGCTTGGTCGTCTTCCCCCATTGCCACGTCCTGATGTCATTGTAACAGGACGACGCATGAATGAAGAAACCCTTACCTGTGACTGTGAATGAAGTGTGGTGTTCGACTGTCGGGATAACTAGTGAATAATGGTTATGCCATACA